GGCGATACTCACTGACGATGCCGACTACGATGCCAGCGAAACGTCTGGGAATGTACCACGTCCACGGTTCTACTCTGGAAACGATGATGCATACAATGGACTCGGGACTAGGTGCGTTTCTTTAAGTCTTCCTACCAATATAACCGAGTTGCGAAAACAAGGTCAAACAACTTCTTATAGGCTCAATTGAGTCTATATAAGAGGTAAGAAAAAGCCGAATAGTCTTCTTTGCCTAATTTTAACGAGAGCCTTTTACAAGAATGAAACCCAGCTCTGATGATGTCCATCATATGATGGACGAAAGCTCAGCACGTTTTCATCAAACTGAGGAAGGAAGTCTGGTGGACTGCGTTAACATAAATATCGTATAAAATTCAAACGGCTACAGAACAACGAGATTCATCCGTCCTCATCTGGTGAGATCGACCAACGAATCTCTTCTTCATGCACTTTCATACGAATGTTATCTCAGGAGATTCATCGAAACCCAGTTTTTCTTTGTATCTACTTTGAATAAGAATACTTTTTAGGAAGCAACAGTAAGAGAAATCTAACCCTTCGTATCTTAATAATTATTAGTTTTGTTTTTAACAATGTTATCTCATGAGATTCATCGAAAACAAGTTTCTCTTCGTATGTACTTACTATACTTGTTAGAGTAGACACCTGCATATGAGTAAAATTACTTATGGAAGATATGAAGGCCAAGATAGTGCGGCCTTTGTATACTCGCAGTTTTCTTCGTATAAAAGTTGTTTGACCTTGTTTTCGCAATTTGGTCATATTGGTAGGAAGACTTTGAGGAACGCACCTAGTCCGGAGTCCATTGTATGTATAGTCATTTACAGTCGGACCGTGGACGTTGTGCATTCCCAGATCTTTCGCCGGCATCGTCAGTGCGTATTGCAAGTCTTAGCACCATACTACAACGCGTCAGAGACAAGGGAAACCGATCATTTGACCAATTTTCTGATAAACAATCGTGTTATCTCTCCTTCCGCCCTGGGCTAATCATCAATCCTATATCCTCGTATCACGCCTTCACTATCATAATTTTCGACTTGCTTATTTGAATGTCGCATGGTGTGCCATTTTGAGCGGCTTTCATGAGAACCATCTATACTCCACGCTGTCGTTATCACCCCCCTTCATCCTTGTTCTGGGAATGTTGATCAGAGTCTACCATATTGTTACACAGTTCTCTTTCCCTAGGTATCCCTCTTGCTCCGTAGGATCCGTCGTTATCTACTTGGTTCAAGTATTTCATTCGATCCCTGTCACCCCATCTGTGCTATTATAGGGGTTATCACCCCTCTCCTGCGTCTGGGTGACTAATTCGAGGCTAAAGCCTCTGAGTAAGTCACATGGTCAAGCCTTTGCTATATGGACCATGTCTATGGTAAAACAGGCCTACTGTCAGCCAACTAGCTCCAGTTGCCACCGCGTTTATCCTGTTTCTATTTGTAATATCAGATCTATGACTCATGTGCCAACCCGCAAACATTGTGGTTCAACATCGAACCTAATCAAAGCAAGTAGTACCACAAAATTTTTGGGTTATCACACAAGAGACTAGGGCATATCAAGTCATATAATTGGTATTAGGGATAGAAACAGGACGGACGCGTCTTAGACTAGAGCTAGTTGGCTGACAGTAGGTTCTACCAGAGAGGTGGGCCATGTAGCAAAGGCTTAATCTAAAATTAGTCACCCAGACACAGGGGATGGGTAATAACGCCTCGAGTATCACAGATGGAGTGGTAGTGGTCGAGTGAAATACTTGAATCAGGGAGATAGCTGACGGATCCTACGGGGCAAGAGGGAGACTGATAAGACATATGGAAGGAGGACCGCATAAAAATATGGCAGACTGATCAACCTTCCTAGCACAAGGGTGAAGGGGGTGGATCGTTATCATGAAAGCCGCTCAAAAGGGGACACCACACTACAATTAAATAAGCAATGCATAAAATTGTGATATGAGGATATAGGTGAATGACTCAAGACAGAAGGAGAGATACCACAACTGTTTGCACACATTTGATCAAAGGATCTGCTTCACTTGTCCATTTGACGAGCTGAAGTATGGTACTAAGAGTGACAAGACTCACTGATGATGCCGACGAAACGTCTGGCAATGTACCATGTCCACGGTCCGACTAGAAATTATTATGCATACAATGGACTCCGGACTAGGTGTGTTCCTCTAAGTTTTCCTTCCTATATGACCAAGTTGCGAAAACAAGATCAAACAAATTCTAAATTATTTGTGCTTATAATGTTGGTTTGACCTCGGTTTCGCGACTTGATCGGAGCAACAGAGAGACCTTGTAAAATGCACCTAGTCCTGTGTTCTCTGTCCTTGAGTATCTATGACGATTTCCAGCATCAGACCATTGACTTGGTACATTCCCAAACGTTTCGCAGGCATCTTCAGTGAGTCACCATCATTGACGCAGAGGTACAATTTGCCCTAAGTTGCAAATGAAGGCCATCCCTTTGACCAATTTTCTGTTCAACCATTGCTTATGCTTGATGGGCAAAAGAAGGCTTGATTAATACCTGCTAGTAACAATAGTCAAGAAAACAGTGATAGCGAAAGAATTTTTCTAAAAAATCTGTATTGATTGATCGCTAGTTTTATCAGAACCTCCCAGTTCCACACACTTATGGATATATGGATGATGTAGTTGATACAGTCCAAAATGGCTGTGCTGATAAAGACTGGAGACAAGGTGTGGATAAGCTTGAAAAAGATAAACGAAACAAGTTCAAGAGTCGAAATCATATCGTAAGTACACAGCGGGGTTAGACGCTATTTCCGGTCCTAGCTAATATTTAAGTCAGCCTTTGAAAGCAAAAGAGGCTAAATGATCCGATAGGAAATAAGCAAGCTGTGAAAGCAGTTATTTACAAAGAATAGACAACTGGCCCAAAAAGACAGGCATAAAAGAATATAAAAGTAGAGAACAGAAAATATAACTAAAACCGTAATTGATGTAAATCATTACGAAAACAGACAGGTCAGAAGCAATACAGGCTTTAAAGTCTCAATCTGGAACAGAAACACAGAGAACACATTAACTAATTCAACGATGGTTGAGGTAATTCGGAAAAAAAGTCCACAAAATCGATAATCGATTGTTTTGGCGTGAAACATAATTTAAGGCATGCATGTTTAGGGTAGTGGGGAGCTACAAAAGAGGGATAGGAGTGTGAGTCTGCGAGGAGAGAAAATTCAGAGATAGCACAGAAGAGCAAGACAAGAAAAAGAATAAAAATGTAAGCCAAGTCAACTTAATTAAATGCCATCCAGAATTTGATCGGAAGAAATGAAGGAAATAAGACAGCATCATGCAGTTTTTGCAATTTTTATTTCTCAATTCAAACAGTCCACATGAAACCCATGTGGACTGCAGCTGCAAGGACAGAGGTGCGAATCTAAAAAAGACAAGCGATCACATACGACATGGGCGCCACCAAACTTATTCAGTGGGGTTGAGACGAAAGTGAGCCTCGCTGTGCCTGTAAGCTGATTGATAAAAGCAAGCCAACAGGGGTGCTAGCTGAAGTGAGCTGGGAAAGAAGTGAGAAGTGGAGATTAAAATATACGAAAGAGGCCAATACTGCCGATCGAAGTAAAGAAAGTTAAGACTTATAAAGATGGGTAAATTTATATATATATATATATATATATATCGCTGATGAGAGATAGTAAGATATTCGATAAGAAAGAAAAGCTGAATATTCTTGAGTATGGATGCAACTAAAGCATACAGAAGAAGGTAATGAGGAATAGAAAAGATGAAAAATATGATTTAGAGTAAGTGAATAAATAATTTGATTGCTTAAGAAGATAGAAAATAAAATGGCTAAAATAATGATGATTGAAAGCATGGGATCCTAGATGTCAAAGAAAATGAAGGAATAAAAACAATTTAAATATTCTGAGAAGGCAGCAATAACACAAATAAGAAGTTGTAAAGTAAAATGAGATAATAATAAATTAGAATAGAGCTTTTCAGAGTGAAAAAGAAAGGAAAATAGTTAACATTTTCCCAGACTAAATTAGGAGTGGATTGAAACACTCAGTGAAAAATAAATAGACAAATAAAAGTTATGAAGGGATGCAAGATAATTGAAGAAGCACAATATATCTCCAGGGTATAAGGAGGGCGATTAACAAATGGATTTATGCGAAAGCATAACCGGTTCTCAGAGCAAAACTATGAAAAAAATATAAAGATAAACTAGGGAGGTCAGGAAAAGGGTTTGGCAAGTGCACGCAAAAAGGAGGCAGGAAAAAAATGTTGGTAAAATAAGACGCATCAGAAAGGCATGTCTAGCTTCTTCTTGGTTTTGGAGCCACAGGTGGAGGGGCAGGGAAGGAGAAACGATTACTACTGAGATCCGACTGCTGATGCCGTTTGGCATTTGCCTCGAAGACGGCACGGAGGGATCCAATTGAATGGAAGCCAGTTGCACCAGCATCGGTATCACGAATAGAATGATCTTCATCTGAGGCTGGCCCAACTCCTGACCCATCTTCGATGCCGCCGAGGGATTCACTAGTACCATCAGCGATAGCGACACAAAGACTGGAACTGGACTGGCATACAGACAACCCTGGTTGTATATAATCCTTTGAGTCGATGTCACATTCATCAGGCTTCTTTGAACGGGCCCCAGAAGCGCGCAAATCAGCGCTAGAGAGTGAGGCTGTTTTGGTCACCGATTTTCCTGGACCAAAATGCTCTGGCCTTAAACTGCAAGGGATGAGAGGAATTGGTTCATCCGTGGGCGATGCCTCACTTTTAGTGCCTGTTGT